GAAAGAGTCAATATGGCACTCTCCTCTCCGGTCCAGAGCAAAAGGATGCATAGGAGGAGGAGGTGAAGAGGCTGTTGGGAAAGGCTGCTAGTGATGTCATTTTCTCATTCAGAGGAAAGGTATGTGTGCCTCCTTCTCCTTCACATGAAAGAGAAACAGGAGGGAAGGTCCTGTGGTAGCTTTAAAGCGAAGGATAAGTACGTGATTACAGCAGCACTGGAAGACGGAGGGGAGAGGGTGCTTTGAATTGCTTTGAGAGTGACTGCTCACTCCTGGGTGACTGCTCACTCCCGAGTGACCTTTTTGCCCACCCTCCGTACACTTGCCTTGAAAGAGAACAACAGTCAGTAAATTCAGGTGGGTAGCCACGTTGGTCTGAACCAGCAGAACAAAGTCTGAGTCTGGTGGCACCTTTAAGACCAGCAATTAAACCCAAACAAATGGTGACCACATAAACTAAGCTTGTTATTCCAGTTCAGTCCTTGCATCTGTTAAATACCTTTTATTATGCTTATGCTAATTTACTGCTCACCCTCTACCTATATGTATGGACTGTTAACTTCCATTTTCAATGTATCTGAAGAAGTGTGCATGTACACAAAAGCTTATAACTTGAATAAAACTTTGTTGGTATTAAAGGTGCCACTGGACGCCAACTTTGTTCTGCAGTCATCGTTAGCTCCCCAGATATACCTGTACTAAACTCACTCTCTCCAGCAATCAGAAAGGCCCTAAGACAAGGGTCCCACACCCCACACTGGTCTGTCACAAGCAGGCAATGAGCCACAAAAGACTCAACTTTGAACCAGCCTGACAGGCTCAGAAGAAACTGAGCCAAATAGGAGTACTGTGAGGAAGCACATCTACAGGATCCCATGACTGATACAATCAACAGAGATAGCCATCCTCGCCATCCTACTAATCCCTAATCCCATCTCCTATGACCCCGGCACCCCCTTGGTAAGGTGCACTGTCTCCTTCGAGGTAATTTCGAGGGTCTAGCACCCTTCCTTCCCCACTCCACATCGAGCCACTGACACACAGAAACGCAAACACTGGCGACTCAGACGTTTAAGCCAAGCATCCTGCATGCATTCAACTTAATCTGGCTACTCATTACACCCCGGGCCAGCCCACCCCCAGTGGCTCCCGAAATATTTAAAGTGGCACTCCGCGCCTCAACCTTTTTACCTCTTGAGGCGCCCATATGAAGGTATCCTCGGATTCTGTCGGAGCCTTTGACACAAACCGCTGGTCGGCTGTGTCCTCCTTCTGCCACGTGGATTCCAGACCTCAGGATCAGGTGACTATTACCCTAATCTAAAAGCAACCCCCTTCTTGTCACTACCGATCACTTCTGTGTTTCATAGCTCTCTGTGTGCTGATCTATTGTTACTATTTTTGCATGGGTGAGTAGCGTGGCCTTTCCATTTAGTTAAAATAAAACTCGGTTTGTTCAGTCAAAAGGTCTCTTCCTTCCACTGGCATCTCTCACAATTTGACCCTCGTTTACATAAAATATAAAGAACCCTTGTACACATGGACTGCCCTGCATGTCTGCAAGCAGACCCAGGCAATCCATGTAACATAATCAGTAAAGTTCTGCAGTAGCAGCAAACAGCAAGTGGATGCCTTGCCTGCACATGCTACTCATGCATGTTAGGCAGCTCCCCACTACGTGGGTGGGGGTGGTCCCCTCATAGGGAGAGACATTGGAAGGGTCACTCGTCTACTGGGACAGCTCCCAGTGATCCTGCACAGCAACAGGCATCGACAGCAGCAAAGGACAAAGAGAGGTGGCTAGCAGTCACCCCATGACTGTTTGTGCTTCCTGAGTGGTGACACAGGCATGGTGTCATTCGGACAGTGTCACTACTATGTCATGTCAGGCCCCACTCTTCTGCATGAAATCCTCTGTGTGACCTTCAGCCAGTCACAGTTCTCTCAGCACTCTCTCAGTCCCACCTGCCTCACAAGGTGCCTGTTGTGAGCAGAGGATGGGAAAGGTGATTCTCAGCCCTTTTGAAACACGTGAGGCCTGCTGGGTGACCTTGGGCCAGTCACATTTCTCTCAGCACTCTCTCAGCCCCACCTGCCTCACAAGGTGCCTGTTGTGAAGAGAGGAAGGGAAAGGTTGAAACAGGTGACGTGAGGCCTGCTGGGTGACCTTGGGCCAGTCACATTTCTCTCAGCACTCTCTCAGCCCCACCTGCCTCACAAGGTGCCTGTTGTGAGGAAAGGAAGGGAAAGGTGATTCTCAGCCCTTCTGAAACATGTGAGGCCTGCTGGGTGACCTTGGGCCAGTCACAGTTCTCTCAGCACTCTCTCAGCCCCCCCTGCCTCACAAGGTGCCTATTGTGAGGAGAGGAAGGGAAAGGTGATTCTCAGCCCTTTTGAAACACGTGAGGCCTTCTGGGTGACCTTGGGCCAGTCACAATTCTCTCAGCACTCTCTCAGCCCCACCTGCCTCACAAGGTGCCTGTTGTGAGGAAAGGAAGGGAAAGGTGATTCTCAGCCCTTCTGAAACATGTGAGGCCTGCTGGGTGACCTTGGGCCAGTCACATTTCTCTCAGCACTCTCTCAGCCCCACCTGCCTCACAAGGTGCCTGTTGTGAGGAGAGGAAGGGAAAGGTGATTCTCAGCCCTTTTGAAACACGTGAGGCCTGCTGGGTGACCTTGGGCCAGTCACACTTTTCTCAGCACTCTCTCAGCCCCACCTGCCTCACAAGGTGCCTATTGTGAGGAGAGGAAGGGAAAGGTGATTCTCAGCCCTTTTGAAACACGTGAGGCCTTCTGGGTGACCTTGGGCCAGTCATAATTCTCTCAGCACTCTCTCAGCCCCACCTTCCTAACAGGGTGTCTGTTATGGGGACAGGAAGGGAAGGCGATGGCAATTTAGGTTTACGGTGATGGTTAGGTTTCAGTTGTGCTGTTATATTTCCTTTAGGATAATATTGTAATGTGAAGATTGTTTCTTTTGATATGTTTAAATATGCTGTTATGTTGTTTTATTCTTCTCAATAAAAAACTATTAAAAATCAAAAAAAAAAAAAAAGGAAGGGAAGGCGGCTGTAAGCTGCTCCGAGCCTCCTTCGAGTAGAGAAGAGCAGGGTATAAAACCAGCTCTTCTTCTTCTTCTTTGTGCACGATGCACGCATTCTGCTAGCAACAGCTGAGGGAAGCCAGGTAGTCAGGGCAATCCACAGAGTTGGCACTTGATGGTGGTGGGGGAGCTACAGAAACAATTGCCGCTAGGGTTGCCAACTTCATGTTGGGAAATTCAGAGCAATTTTGGGGTGGGTGGAGTTTTGGGAGAGGATGGACCTCAGCAAGGTGTGCCATGGAGTCCACCCTCTGAAGCAGCCATTTTCTTCAGGGTCTCTTTGGTTTGGAGACCAGTTGTAATTCTGGGAAATCTCCAGACCCCACCAGAAGGTTGGCACCCCTAGTTGCAGCAGGCACATTTTTAAGGCAGGAATGCACACACACTAGGGCACTTACCTGTGTGGGATGCACTGTCCTTGTGCCACTGGGAGGGAAGGTTTTTACACTAAAACCTAGCTCTAGAAGTTGCTGGATTCAGACACTGTCTGGTCACGACCTTTCGTTGTGATGCACAGAAGCCGGAAAGTGGTAGCTCTGCCGCCCAGGAGCAATTTCTCATTGGGAGAAAATGTCATCTCGCAGGACAGCCCAGGCAGTGGCAGTGCCTGGACAACTCTGTGGCTCAGACTAGCTGCTGCTGCTGAGACTTGGTTGGGGTCCCCCCTCATCTCTGGCAGCTTTGGGGCGCCCCGGTGGAGGATGTGGCCAGACACACAGTAGTTGCATCCGAGCACACAAGTTCCTGAACTACCTCTCCCATCGCAATACCCCTTCTCCATCGCTTTCCTTCGCACCCCACCACCCCACAAGCCACCTGCACAATCCCTTTACTTAAGTATTTTGAATGCTCTCTGCACACCAGTCTATGAACATTTACTGGGGAGTAGGCCCCACTGAATAGAATGGCACTTAATTTCTGAGTGGATGTGCACAGAACTGTCCTGGAAATGACCAGTTTGCACCTAATGGGTGCCTCATGAGAGACTGTAACGGACTGTATGGGATGCTCAGTTGCTGTGGGCATGTTCCCCCAACTCCCTATTTTTCTTTTATTCAAAGAAGTGGCTGGCAGCTCCAATTACAGTCAGCTGCTTGCACAGGGGTGAGGATGCCTGATGATTTCACAGGGTGAGTCCCCCCTTAGCCACAGTCAAGGACCATCGTGGTTTAAATCCCTGTTAGGATTGCCAGCTGACTGAAGAAAAGAACAGCCGGCACCTTTATTTTATTTTGTTAGACTTATATTCCGCCCTCTCCACATTGTAGGCCCAGGGCGAGTTTAATAGAGACTTTAAGAGAGACTTAATTTACCTGGGGATGTTCTTTACCTGGGGAGATGGTTTGCCTCCATGCTGCAAGTGCCCAATCCCGCACAATGACCCTTTATTGAAGAGACAGGTGGGTTTTTCCCAGACCCACTGGCCATCCTAATTTGTGAAGCAGACACTCCAGTGATATGTCACATTGAGAAAGAGAGAGTTTGGGCAGCAATCCTCGATATGAGAACAGTCTTATGAGAGCCAGTTTGGTGTAGTGGTTAAGTGCGCGGACTCTGACCTGGGAGAACCGGGTTTGAGTCCCCACTCCTCCACATGAAGCTGCTGGTGTGGCCTTGGGTCAGTCATGGCTCTCTCAGAGGTGTTCTCTCAAGAGCAGTTCTCGAAAGAGCTCTCTCAGCCCCACCTACCTCACAGAGTGTCTGTTGTGGGGAGGGGAAGGGAAAGGAGTTTGTAAGCCGCTCTGAGACTCCTTTGGGTAGTGAACGACGGAGTATAAATCCAATCTCTTCTCTTCTTCTCCATTTGCCGTACCCTTATATTAAGTTACAAGCAACTCCCATTGAACACTCTGCAGCATTTAATAAAGGCCCAGCATTATTACTGTTATTGCCATTATTGGTCCACTGGTTCAAGGATGGAGGCAGCATTTTCTATTGCTTGGACGATGATCGTCAGGTGCTGCCGGACATTCTCCCAGTTGCCCAGCTCCTTGGCACTGGAGTAAGCATCGGCAAGCCCAGGGAAGGTGGCGATGGAAGACGATCTGGAGGCCATGATGATGTGGCTGCGTGAGGAGAGAGAGTCAGAAGTGAGAAGGGGCAGGTTCTTGTTGGAAGTTCCGGGTGCGATGCCCCTACCTCATCCTCCAGATTCCACGGCAAGAGAGAGTAGAAAGCAAGATAGGCACACTGGCCTTTCCTTCTTGCGTTTGCTCTTCTGCCACTGTCCCCTCTGAAATGTAGATTGCGTCCTCAGGGACAATTTCCTTCTTTCCACTTTCTCAGATGAAGCGCCCCCTCTCTCCCTCCACACACCAAGAGGTGCTCTCTTGGAACCATGAGGCAGATGACCCTCTCGCCATTTGCTTCCATCCTTAGCTAGTAAGTGAGTATCCTATCCTGTCTCTCCTCCTTCCCATCCAAAAGTGTACTTCTCAAATAAAGAGAGAAGTATTTCTTTGTTAAATTTGTGTCTGTCTCTCTAGCGTGCCTAATGCTCCGTATGACCGGGGCCACAGAACGTTACAACCAATGGTGATTAACACTGGGCAACAAAATTACAGAGCAATGTGCTAAAAACAGTGCAATACATAAAAATAATGTAACAGAAATGAACTGCAAAACTGGCAAATGATGCAATAAACAGTGTGGTATATAAAAAAGAATGAAATCTGGATAAATTACACAAATGTTTAGAAACTGTATTTGTGCAGTTTAACACAGGCAAGGAGAAAACACCAGGCAGGCTTTCTTAACTTCACATGGATTCAAGTCACGACTATCAAAATTTTGTGGGGTATGAGCTTTCAAGAGTCAAAGCTCTTTGTCAGATATGGAATGGAGATCTCTGAGAGTTTATATCCCAGTCAAAAGGTGAGAGGGGTGTTGCAAAGAAGGAACTCAGCATGCAAAGGTACAATGCACACTGTAATCAGTTTGATTAGAGCAGAGGAGAAAGGCTTGGGAGCAGAAAATTAGCACCTGTAGTGAGATAAGACTCCTGCCAACCTAGCAGTTCGAAAGCGAGAAATTGCAAGTAGATAAATAGGTACCACTTCAGTGGGAAGGGAACAGCGTTCCGTGCGCCTTGGTGCTTAGTCACGCCGGCCACATGACCACGGAAATGTCTTTGGACAGCGCTGGCTCTTCGGCTTTGAAACGGAGATGAGCACCACAACCCTAGAGTCGGATTCGACTGGCTTTCAAGCAAGGGAACCTTTACCTTTACTAGTGAGATAAGAATCCTAGGCCCCTATTCAGTCCCAGGGGCTCCATTGTTCTGAACTTGTGAAGAAACTCAGTTTCAGCAACCTAACACTGTAATCTCCCCTTGAAAATTCTCTGTTTGAGGACTGCCACTCTTAGGTCAACAGTGGCCCTTTCTGCACTCTCCTTTTAATCCATGTTCACTGTGGTGTCCTCCAAGCAATTCTGCACTCAAATTGAATTCAACCTTCTTTTTATTCTGGGTCCGTCCCCCCTCATTCTGGATTATATTACCTCCCTTCAGTGGCCAGCCCGGTTTCAGTCTGCTCTTGCCCCAGGTTGTTTGGATGCTGTTTTGCCCTGGACTCAAATGGCCTCGACTTGAACACTGAGAAAATCCAGAGTGGAAGGCAAATACGGAAAGGACCAATGGTTGAAAGGAAACCGTTTCAGGCAACCTGATTAATTTTCAGTGCCAAAGTCAGACTGAAAGAAAAATTAGGGTTGCCAGAGACCTCAGCAAAGTACAGTGCCATGAAATGCCCTCCAAAGCACACATTTTCCTCGGGGGAGCTGATCTCTATATTCTGGAGTTCAGCTGTAACAGCAGGAGACCTCCAGGCCCAACCTGGAGGTTGGCAACCCTAATAAAAGTGCTTCTGCCAACAGAAGACAGTAAAGCAAAGCAGCGAAAGTACAGAAGATTTCTTAAATTAGGCCCTTGAACAATGGATACAGGATCCTGTATGACTGGATTGGATCCCAGAGATCTATTGCACACTACTGGGGGCCCTTTCCCTTGAAGCAAGGCACCTCTTTGAGCCCCTCGGGGCAGGGGAAGGCTTCTTGTACCAGGGCCATTAGAAGAACAAATCCACAGGCTCCAACGCAGAGTGCCCCAGGAAAGTGGGTTATTGATCCATTTACCTGTAGTAATATTCGTCGGGGAAGGCCCTGGGGTTCAAGAATGCCCTTTCTAGCAGCATCAGCTGGTCATTCACCGTCCGTACATGGAGGGGACTGTTGAGAGAGACAGCAGGTTAGGGGGAGGGGGGGGAGGTCTGGCTCAGACGTTTCTGGAGCCTCCCAGCCCCTAGCAAAGTGCACAGAGGTACAAACATAAGAGTAACCCTACTGGATTAGACCAATGGTACAGCTAGCCAGCATCCTGTTTCCAACAGGGGCCAGTCAGATGCCACAACAAAGTTCATAAGCAGGGCCTGCCGGGAACAGCCTTTGCCTGATCACTGCATTTGGTTCTGAATGTGGATTTCCTATTTGGGTGCTAGGGGAGTTTTCAAAATCCTAATATGATCTTCCCTTTTCCTGAGTTCAATCTGGGACAGAAAATGGTTCACTCAAGACTTCAGGCTACCAGAGCATGCAGTTTTAATAAGATGATTATCTGATGCAAGAAAAAGATCAAGCTGGCATCCGGTACAAGATTCTAAGCTCTAAAAAGCTGCAATGTGTGTGTAATTAAAAATACTGTATGTTGTCTTCCGTATCCCCCACGAATATTGTTAGTCCAAATGTCATGAGTAACTGTAAATCGCTCTGAGCCCGCAGGTGTGTGGGAAAAAGCGATCAATAAATCAAAAGTATTATTATTATTATTTTATAGGATAAAACAGACAAAAGGTCGGGGGCTCGAATTCCAAAAGAAAGTTCACCAATTCTGTCCTTAAACAAAATTCACTTTTATCCACCTTTTACAGTACATCTCACATTCCTTTGAATCTAGAGAGAAAGATAAAACATGCCCTCTACGTATATTTCACGGAAGACAGGGATGGAACAGACTCTTGACTGATATACAGTTGCTTAGTCATCAGCAGATCAATGGACAGGTTTACAATGGGGGGGGGCGTAGGATCAAGCCAACATAGGCTCACAATTTAGAAGCCATTATAAAAATAAAATCTCTTAACATTGGGTACCATGGCTAACAGACAACTATAGATCTAATCTTCTAAAAATCTGTCCAGCCTCCTTTTAAATCCATTTATGCCAGTGACCATCACCACATCTTGTGGCAGGAAGTTCCACAATCCAACCACCCATTGTGTGAAGCACCACACCCTCTTGCCTGTCTTGAACCTATGGCCATTCATAAAGTGATCCTCCCAATAGGTTCTAGTACTAGGATGATGACAAACAAGTTTACCTCTATTCAATACTATGGTCCCGGTCACACAGGCAGGAAAATGTGGGGGGGGGGGACATGGCTGTTAGCCCTGGGGCTAAAAACTGCACAGTTGCTTGATCAGACCTACTGATCAAGGTCCCGTGGAGGTCCCGTGGTAGGGGGGAGGTGCCGATCACTCCACTGTCCTGCGGCGCGGCAAAGAAGCGGGGCGCGGGGCAAATGGGTTGGTTGTTTTTTTATTTAAACTCAAATGTGCGCATGCTCCCTTGGGTGCGTGTGCGCATCCGTGGAGACTTTGAAAAAAACAATTTCCGAGGGGACATGGGCGGGCGCCAGAACTACCTCCGGAAACGCGATCAGATGCCCACCCTTGCCCTGCGGTTTCAGGAAACTAGTACCTCCGAGGTACGAGTTTTTTACTGCGCGTCTTTGGCGGGAAGCCTCGGTTGCGCCACGGGAGCCCAACGCTTCCCAGATGTGCCGGTGAAATCACGCCCAGAAACTCCGCCTATCTTCCGTCCCTGTAGCGTGCCTAATGCTCCGTGTGACCGCAGCCTATGAATATTTTGTAGACCTCTGTAATCATGTCACCCCTCAATAGCTTCTTTTCCCCAAATACAAAGCCCCAGATGCTTTAGCCTTGCCTCATAGGGAAGGCACTCCAATCCCAAAATAATTTTGGTTGCACTTTTCTGTATTTTCCCCAGCTCTTCAATATCCCTTTTTGCAGCATAGGACTGTACACAGTATTCCAAATCAAGGACTTGTATAAGGGTGTTACAATATCAGGTATTTTATTCACAATCCCTTTCTTGATGATCCCTGCTATGGAATTTCCTTTTTTTGTATTTCCACCACAAACGGTTGCCATTTTCACTAAGCTATCTACCAAAATCCGAAGGCATTTTTTTTGGTCTATCACAACTAATCCAGTTTCTGTGCAAAAACGGGATTTATTTATTTTTGTCCCAACACGCGTCACTTTGCATTTACACACTGAACATCATTGCCCGTTCACTCATTGCATTGTGGAGAAATCCAAGATGGCCAGCGAAAGCCAAGTTCACTTACAAAGCTGTTGATTAATTACCTCCCCAAGGCAATATTTGACACCAGCTGATTTTCATAGGATTTACTCTCATATCCGAAAACAACACTGGGAACTTGTTCAGCCTGTACTTGATTCCATGTCTTGTTCTGATCAGCATGCTGAATTTCTTGCAGCATAACATGAGCTTTTAGAGCTTAAGAGACTGAGCCATGCTTGTGGGGATTCCCAATTCAAATTTCTTCCCAGCTTAGGGTTGCCAATTTTAGCCTAGGAAATTCCTGGAAATCTGGGAATGGGACCTGCGGAGAAGGAAATTTGGGAAGGGATTTCACCTAGAATCTACAGCAGGGGTCCCCAGCGTTTCTGAGCCTGCGGGCACCTTTGCAGTTGTGAGGCAGGCAGGATGGTGTGCCCAACAACAAAATGACTGCCACAGGAGGTGGAGCCAACCACACAATGTCAGGGAGTGACATAACGCATGACTCTGATAGTGACTCTTCAACATTTCAGGCAGCATCTCTGATGCCTTCTGAAAGGAACACATTGTTTAGAAATATTTCCTGGTATGCTCACACAGCTTACTTTCAAACATAACAGTAAAGATCCTTGCGCTGGGATGGTAGCTGCTGAAGCAATCTTTAGCTGCTGAACCCACTTTGGTTCCGTTTGCAATTAAAAACAACAACCTGTTCAGGCAATCAGATCTCCAGTGGCCAATCCGAAGCCCTGCTGGGCTTACAAGCCTCACCCGGCCCCACCCACTTTCTAAAAAAACACTTGGCAGGCACCAGGAAAGGTGTTGGTAGGGGCACCATAGCAACCACAGGCACTATACTGGGGACCCCTTATCTATGGTATACCATAGCGTTTGCCAGGGCTATTTTTGGGCAGGAACACACAGGAACGGAGGTCCGGTTGGCTCCCAAGTTGGCCACGCCCAGCAGGAACTCGTTAGCATAATAGGCCACACCCAGTGGCAGGAATTCATTAGGATTGGCTACATTAGGGGTGTGTGGCCTAACATGCAAAGGAGTTCCTGCTCCAAAAAAAGTCCTGGGTTTTGACAACAAACAAGGTAAACAGAATAAGAAGCAAAAGGTGGCTGTGGCTGGATGACCACACTTCTGGTAACACGGGTGTGTGGCCTAATATGCTAATGAGATGTGCTGTCATGGGTGTGGCCTAATTATGCTAACGAGTTCCTGCTGGGCGTGGCCAACTTGGGAGCCAACCGGAACTCCGTTCCTGTGTGTTCCTGCCCAAAAAAAGCCCTGGCGTTTGCCCTCTGAAGCTGCACTTTTGTCTGGAGCACCTGCTCTCTGTAGAGTCGAAGTTAGTAATAACCCTGGGAACTTTCCAGCCCCCAACCTCACCCCCACCGCCAGAGGCTGGCAACCCTAGCCCAGCTACAAACACCTTAGGCCCTCTGTATCTAAACTCTTCCATCAGCGATACTGGGTATAATCTCATGAGCCTACCTTCAAGGGTTGTTGTAAGGATTACTGAGACAAATTGATGTGAAGAGCTTTGAAGGTGCCTACTACACTATATAAATCCTGTAGAACAGATGTGTCAAACTCATTTGTTACGAGGGCCAGATCTGACATAAATGTGACCGGGGATCATTTCCTGCAGGAGCATACAGGAGCAAAGCTCCCGCAGTAAAGAGCCCAGGGGGCGGGCACATGCAACAAGCCCCACTCCCTGCCCCCAGCAGCCCTCAGTCAGAGCAAGAAGAAGCCAGGTAAGCTGCAGAGCTCACCCTGCCCCCCCGGTCCAAAACAGTCCAGTGGCACCTTTAAGACCTTTAAGTTTTATTCAGGTACAAGCTCTCCCTCCTCTGCGAGGACAGATCTGCACGTCCCCCCCCCCAATAGCTAGCAATCCAAAACAGTCCAGTGAAGCCTGAGCGATGGGTGTTGCCTTCTGACACACTTCTGGTGATGTCAGGGGGTGTGGCACATGCAAATGAGTTATGCTAATGAGCTCCTGCACCTCTTTTTCTACAAAATGACCCTTGAATGTGACTTCGTCAGGCCGGGCCATGTGTGCCATAAAACGTAATGCCAGATACCGGAGAGATAAGCTGTATAAAGGACAGCAGCTCATAGCTCTGAGTTGGTGTATCCTCACTGCAAGGCCCCCTTGGCTGGGAGGGGTTGCAAAGGAAAACTCATATTGGTGGACTGGAGAGGCAGCGGTGCAGCACTGGGCAGATATTCCCACGCTGCTTGACTGCTGCAGATGAGGTTATTCCGCCATGCTGAAGCCACAATCGGAGTGGCTCCACCCATTCCCTTCCCCAAGCAGCCTCCTGTTCCCTCCCTTGCACCAGTTGCTCACGGGCTGCAGAAGAGCCCTGGATGGGCCATTCCTGGCCCACAGGCCTTATGTTTGACACCCCCGCTAGAACATTATTGAGGAAGGGAGGCTGCTGACCTGGGAGATTCTTCTTCCTGCAAGCTTGCAATGCGCTGATCGAGGCTGGCAGCTGCTGACTTGAACTGTGCAATTGCAGCCTGGAGTGGGGCTGGGAAGAGAGGAAGGGAAGGAGACAAATGTATTTGTTAATTAAAATATGTGTACTCCCCTCTTTTCAGTTAAAGCATTCAAAGTAGTTAACAAAAAGTTCACTAAGAACTAAAATCACACAGTGTGTAACTTGAGCCCATGAGCTAACTATGAGCCACTGAAGTGATAAAACTGGCAGTTCTTTCTATTGCTGTTTTTTGTTTGTTTGTTTCTGCGTCTCAGAACCATGAATGTGCTTTTCCCAGGATCCCATCTGGGTTCTCTAGAATTATGGACTATGGCTCGTGAGATTACCTGAATGCAGGCTGCTACACTTACTAGTGAGTTACGGTCCATCATACTAGGATCTGAAGGCACAGTTCTAAGGTGGTTTATTAGTTTTAACTAAGGATTTGCATAATGTACAAATGCAGTCACACTGGCTTCTTCCCTAGCAGTATCCTCCTCAACTCCCCAACAACACCTTTCCAGAGCAATGAACCCAGCATCTGAGTGGCCTTTTGCAACCAAAATCCTGCTTTTGAAGACTAACCATAATTAAAATAAACCATGGTTTTCCGCCTCGGCCCCTACCTGGTGGAACTCTCTCCTGAGAACATCCGTGCCCTGCAGGATTTACTACCTTTCCGCAGGGCTTGTAAAGCAGACATGTTCTGCAAGGCATTTGGTTGAGGACAGTGATGGGACAGTTAAGTGCTCTGGCTACTGATGGGACAGTTAAGTAGTCTCCCCCTCACCTGCCCGCAGGATACTATGGGAGGTTGCAATTTTTGTCGAAATTTCTCGCCACCTTGGAATAGCCTGTTTTATTTATTATCTGTGTAGTATTTTATTACTTGTTTTAATTTAATCTAGATTACTTATTGTTCTATTCTGATGTAAGCCACCCTGAGCCCTGCTTGCAGGGAAGGGTGGCCAAAAAGTCCAAATAATAAATAAATATGCCTGAACCAAGTTTAACGGTGCAATCTTAAACAGAGTTACGCCCTTCTAAATCCACTGAAATCAACAGGCTTTGAAGGGTATGAGTAGTAACAGCTACTACTGGTGTGACATAGTCATGGAAGATTATCAGTGCCTGCTAGCCATGGACACGAAAGGGAACCTCCATATTCAGAGACAGTAAGCCCCTGAATAACCAGTCCCAGGAGGCAACATCAGGGGAAGGCCTTGGCCTCTGTGCTCTGCTGTTGGACCTCCAGAGGAACTGGTTGGCCACGGTGTGGGACAGGATGCTGGACTTGATGTATCCAGCAGGGCTCTTCTTAAGTTATCACTGTTTAGGATTTCATTGTAAGGCTGTGGTCACACTGGAGGCTTAGCACGATCTGGCAGCAGCTCTATTTGCAGTGGTTTAAATCGTCGTGGGAAGGGGTGACCAGACAGCACACCCTGATCTGTGCACCAGTCCCATGCTGAAGGATCCACATTACTAGCGCCTCAACCATGGAGTGTGGCCCTTACTGGCAATGGGGGTCGTTTATGCTCGCTCATAAGCACTTATGTGCACATCCCTACCGGGCGGAAAAAAAACATGATTGAGACGGAAGTGTCCATTCACACTTCCCATCTGGCATCCATTCGCAACAGGGGGGTTCAGACGTTGGGAAATGCAGAGTGGAAATGCTGGCATGCGTAAAGACCGGACTTTCCCCAATGTCGGCAAACCTCGCTTCCAGGACGGGACGGACCCGGGTGCCGATGACTGGGGCACAGAAGGCGGATGTTGTTGTCTGATCATGCTCTTTAAGACGACAAAGGTAATGCAACTATATCGGCGTAAACTGCTCGTATGACTGGATCCCAAATCTCAGAATGGAGAGCAAGTGAATGGTCTTTAGTGTCAACACCTGTGCATGAACATTAATGCGCCCTGCTCTGCATGGTCTGCCATGTCTTGCCCTGCAACTGCTGTGATTTATTTATTTATTTAATTCGTACCCCACCCTCCCCACCAGAAAACTCTTTATAACATATTGCAGGACTATTCTGCATTCCTAATGTATCTTTAACCAACAGAACGCTCTTGGCTTTTAAATCAACACAGAACAGGGTATTGCATGGTTAAGTCAGTATTGTAAACCAAATAGAGCCTTCAGCAAGGTGTTCCAGCGGGGAATGGAGGTTTTTAGCTGTGATCTTTGTTTTGAGAACAGGGGAGTTAACAACCATGTGTCTATTTTCAGCTGTGACACAGTGGTGGTATATATTTCCTTTCCCTTCCTTATGTACACCTAGCTGTGCACGAGATCAGGTTTCATGAAGAAGAAAACACCACCAGATCCACTCTGCAGGAATATCTCACAGAGATCTGTGCAGTCAACCCCCATAGCTATCGCCCACCCAGCAAAACAGTTCCATCTCAGTACCCCACCGTCTCACCAAGTGAGATATTGTGGTTCATCAGGTCTGTCACAATAACCTCCTGGATAGCAGCCTGGTACATCTGTTCCAGCATCTCCCCATAGTCAGTCACATTTAGTGGAAGGATCAAGGTATCGGCCAGGCGGACCAAAATGTTGCCAGCTGTCCGTGCCACAGTCTGGTGGCTGGTGAACCCTGGGAGAGAAAGAGCTTATTATGGCTAATAACAACTGATAGATCCATCCATCCTAACATCCTGTGGCAGCGAGCTCAAATTAATTATGCTTTTTGTGAAAGAGATCTTTCTTTTGTCTGTCGAACTAGCAGCCATTCAGTTTCACTGAGATCTAACATTACGGGAAGGGGGAATCTCTCTCATCATTCATAGAAAGGTCAGAAAACAGCAGTGAGGAGGGGAAGCAAGAGGAAAGTTTTTAAGAATCATTGAGCCATCTGACAGAGAGATGGTTGCTGAGCAGTTTTGGAGACTGCCTGCCACTTATGGGCAGCATCCCCTCTCCCACCCTCTTCCCGCCTGCTACCTGGATCAATGAACCTATCCGCATAGTCAAAAGTGTCGAAGGCCGTGTGGTAGGCAGGATAAATGCGCGCCGAAGTCTTGCTCTAGGCAAAGGAAAGGATCAGACAGTCCAAAACAGTCAAGAATGAAATAACCTCAAAGAGTTTCAGACTGCTATTAGAGCAGTAGAGACATATATTGGTTTTGGAGGATGTAGAAATGCATGCTAATATTGCATTTATTGTGACTACACTCTCTTCATGTACAGGAGCCCAGCTATAAACTCATAGCTGGCAGAAAGGGTGGAGTGGGGGGAAGGAGCCAACAAGCTCCCACCTCAGAGCACACCAGATCTTATGCTAGTGGCAGTGGCCAAAGCAGGACAATGGCTTGGCTACTAATTCTTGCTGCCGGGCTATACCCAAAAGGGGACAGAGACTAATAACAGACAAGAAAGCAAACTCTTCCTTTTGGGGCAGGAAGGTCCAAATGATCCCAGGTGGGATGGATTCCTCCAAAGTAGAATATAAATTCCCAGGACATGAGGAAAGAATCTCTCTTCTGTTTTGGGAAGCTGCTTCTAGGGGCAGAAGCCATGTTGGACTAAGCTTTTGTGTAGGGACTCCATCTTGTTCACAAGGCAAGGGACAGTGGAGAGAAGCTCCAACCTGTCCCTTGCCTTGTGAACAAGATGGAGTCCGTACACAAAAGCTTAGTCCATCATGGCTTCTGTCCCTTGCCTCGTGGACAAGATGGAGTCATGAAGAACTCTGCAACTTCAAGCAAAGCTAGCCTGTCCTATATTAAATACCATTTAGGAAGTACCTAGAGAGAGAGAAAACTGCATGTTTCCACCTTTTCTTTGTTCCCTTGCTCAGGCCCAGAACATGTGTATTGTCTTTTTAAATTTATTAAAACTTTTCTGTATTTTGAACTAAGACTGATCCCTGGAAATTCACCATACCTATTTGGTCTTGCTACTTAAAGTGTGGTAAAAGGGAAAGGCAGTGAAATCACCATCCTTGGAGTACAATAGCTCTATACTGCAAAGCTGTGATACAGCACCTTCCCCCAGCACCTGCGTGTAGAAGCGTAGTGGGAGGAGCAGCACGTAGGCAGCAACTCTAAATGGCAATGCAGATTTGGAGTGTTATATTCATGACTCTGTCAGGCAGAAGATACTCCTAAGAGTATCTTTGGATAACCAGTTTCTAACTGGCACCCTAGGGGAGCAAGAGGAAGAGATAGGTCACCAAGCAGAGACTTGGGGCAGCCATGGGTTTCTTCCATCCTCCCAGGGGTACAGTTAGAAGAAACAGGGACTGTTTTGCAAGTCCATTCCTTCGCAGAGGGAAACAAAAGGACTTTTTAAACACTTGCCCCATATTGTCATACAAACAAAATGTGGCTTTTATGTGCCACACCAGCATTCAAATTAGCAGCATAAAGACTTGCCCTTCTCAAAGCAAAGGCCTGGACAAGCCAGGGGAGGAAAACCATGATGAGGATTGCTTTTAAGATACAACTGTAGGTATCCTCATTCAGGGAGTTCTTACCCGATCATAGGTATAAGCAATATCCATGGAGGTGATGCCTAAATAGTGAACAAAAGGGGCATAATCGCTTCCGGCACCCAGAGATCCTAAGCTAAAAGAGAAAGACTGCAAGTTAAAAGGGACCATGCATCTATCAGAAACAAACACGAGTAACACAAGCCTGTGTAGCAATATAGGAAGTGCATAACCTCCAACACTTCAAAGGCGAAAACAGGGACATATTTGCCACACTCCCATGATCATACCTAACCCAGGATTAATGTGCCCACTCCCCTCCATATTGCTGAAGGCTCTACTCTGCCTAGGGTTGCCAGGGTTGCATCAGTGCTTAGTTCTCGTGACCCATTCTTGCATGCCCAGGGAAATACTGATTGCCTCTTTGGGATCACTCAAAGCAAAGGCCTGGACAAGCCAGGGGAGGAAAACCATGATGAGGATTGCTTTTAAGATACAACTGTAGGTATCCTCATTCAGGGAGTTCTTACCCGATCATAGGTATAAGCAATATCCATGGAGGTGATGCCTAAATAGTGAACAAAAGGGGCATAATCGCTTCCGGCACCCAGAGATCCTAAGCTAAAAGAGAAAGACTGCAAGTTAAAAGGGACCATGCATCTATCAGAAACAAACACGAGTAACACAAGTCTGTGTAGCAATACAGGAAGTGCATAACCTCCAACACTTCAAAGGTGAAAACAGGGACATATTTGCCACACTCCCATGATCATACCCAGGATTAATGTGCCCACTCCCCTCCATATTGCTGAAGGCTCTACTCTGCCTAGGGTTGCCAGGGTTGCATCAGTGCTTAGTTCTCGTGACCCATTCTTGCATGCCCAGGGAAATGCTGATTGTCTCTTTGGGGTCAGGAAGCAATTGTTCTCCAGATCAGTTTGGCCAGGGATCCTGGAGGATTTTTTTCTTTTTGCCCTTTTCTGGGCACAGAGCAGGAATCACTAGGGGTAGGGGTAGGTGTTTGTGAAGGTCCCTAGGAGAGGGAGGTGCCTAGGAAGGATGTCTTGCCACTTCCAGTGATACTCTAGGAATTTCCCCAGTCTCTATGGTAAATCATAGAGTCTGGGAAAATTCCAGAGCATCCTAAAGCATCCTTTTGGATGGCATTTTTCTCCCATTCCTCAGTTTCTTGAGGCCAGGCAATTGGGAAGCCTAATGGCAGGCTGCTCAGATCATATAATTTTGGCCTTATACCTGCATTGGCTCTCAGTTGGTTTCCAGACCCAAATTCAAATTAATTTTGAACTTTAGATACTGGATATAGTAAGATCCACCTGCTCTCATATGAAACTGTGCGTGCATACGTGTGTGTGCCGCAGCTCTGTTTGGCTCCGGTCACATGGGAGGATTTGCCCCGCGAAACGGACGGATTGAGGGTGGATTAAACTGGCGCGATCAGATGCCAACATCTGGCAAGCGTCGTGCACCCACCCCCAACCCGTCCCTTCTGGCTGAAAACGCGGTTTAAAAAGGTACCAGCAAACAAGCAGTATCTTCAGGAAAATGCGCGGCGCGGGCGGGCGTCTGATCAGGGACGCACTGGTAGGCCGTTGCATCCAGTGCCCGTCCGCATCCCACGCATGCGCACAAACACGGTGCGTCATTATTGCCTCGCGTGGTGTGATCAGAGGACGGAGCTGCGGGGGAACATGAGATCATGATAGCACGCTTCAGTTTGTTGCGGCTCTAAAAAGCCGCACTTCCCCCGCGGCTTTTCCTGCTGGTGTGACTGGGACCTTAGAAGCACGAGGCATGTTGGTCTTTTCCTCAGTAGCACCAAAGTGATGGAACTCCCGCCCAAGAGGGTTTTACCTCACTCCTTCCCTGTTGGTGTTTTAGTGCCAAGCTAAGGCACCTCTTCATTGAAGAGTTTTTGGGATATCTCTCACCTGCTGTTTTTTCCCCTTCCGTTCTGTTCTGCTGCTTTCTTTGGTGGCTGTTTTGTCTGGTTTTAGTCTGTACCTTGGTCAAATGTTTAGTAGCCACCTTGAAGATTTTAATCAAAAACTGGGGTGTCAATGTTTTAGTTAATAAATAAACGGCTCTCCCTCCCCCCACTGTCTTTTTACCTGGGGATGACTCCATAGACAGAGCTGTTTCGGTTGAAGTGGAGTTTCCAGTTATCGTACACTGAAATGGAATTATCTCCTGGGGTCTGGACCTAAAGAGAAAAAGCGTGTGAGGAATATTCTTAAGAGAAGACAGGCTGTTTCCATGTGGAAGAAGGCTTCCACGTTTAAACTACAGCAAAGAACCCCGGCTTAAAAGGGAATCCGCAGGATGACGGCTGACAAAGCTTCTATATGGAAGTTTTTCCCACAGCCAGTCTGGGGAGGGTGTGTGTGGATCTAAACTCTGCCTTCAAAATGGGCCAAATGGGCTGTTGGGCCATTGGGGGGGGGGGGGCAGTAAGATTGGGGTCATGTTAGCACTTCTTCACAGACAAAAGAGACGGGCAGTAGGGTAGACAGCAGCCAGTGATGTAGAGATGGGGTTATGTGGACCCGTTCCCTGCCAACCTCCTGCCCCCATGTAGAACCAGCAGAAGAAAAAACATATATATAGAGAGAAATCAGTCCTTTCAAACAAAGGTGATGGTATTGGCAATTTAAGACCCTAGAAGACTACCAGTTCCAGCATTAATCCATCCAGGCTAACAGCTTTTATTCTCCTGAATAATTATTGGAGCATTTCTCCTGCACACAGGTAACCCCCATTCCCATAATTAGGCTTCCCTGTCCTTGAATCAGCTGTCCCTTTAATAACAGCTGGATCTGCAGCAATTAGCAAGTGATGTTTTGCTCAATACCCAGAAGAGTTTCACATGCTGATTTCTGCGGATGAACCACAGTTAAAAAGTACAGGAGCAGAGTGCAAGCTACTTTTCCCTCCAGCAACCTTTTTTGTTTGTTTTTTGTGAGTATTTGTCTGTGTCCCTGGAAGTCAGGGTTGACTTCTGGTGATCCCTAGTGGGCCTTGGACATTTTAGAGAAGTGGCTTGCTGTCTCTGCATCCTGACCTGGCCCCAGTGTTCCTTGGAGGTCTCCCATCCAAGTACTTGCCAGGGTTGGCCCTGCTTAGCTTCTGAGATCTGAGGAGATCAGTTTCCTCCAGCAATATTACCCAGCCCTGATGAGTTACCTGTTTGGTTGCTTTAAAAACGACACTTTGGACAGGTGGGGTTCCTTGGACCCTCAAGGTAGCATTGGCTGTCGAAGGAGAAACAGAAGCATAAGAAGAGGCCCTCCAAACCCAAGGTCACCTCCACCCACCCCAGCATGGCTCCTGAGTCCTTAACAGATACACGACAGGCAACGATTCAATAGGAACAGTTTTTATCACTGTGCAGGCACAGGGTTGCCAACAGGCCTGGAGGACAATGTCCTCTTCCTTTAATAGAGGCTTAATGTATGGGAATGGACAGTGGAAACTTTTGATGGGGAAGCACATCACCTGGTATTTGCTGCAGCTCAAACTGATGTTAAAGGTAAAGTCACAGGGGTCGGTTGGCAACCCTAAGCCTGCCCTACTCATGATCTACTGAGCTGAACTCAGGCTGCCAGCTTTGGGAGCTGGATGAAACTCCTGCGTTCGCTACTTGGCCAGGGCTGCAAAAAGAGAAGGGTTGTTAAGCTACGGCAAGCCACAGGCTACTGGACCACATGCAGGGTTTGCCAGCTCCAGGCTGGGAAATTCCTGGAGATTTTGGGGACAGAGCCTGGGGAGGGCAAGGGTTGGGGGAAGGAAGGGAGCCCTGCAGGTTATAAGGCTATAGGGATGCCAGCCTCCAGGTGGGCCCTGGGGACCCCCGGGAATTACAGCTCGTCTCGAGACACCAGTTCCCTGGAGTAAATGGATGCTTTGGATGGGGGACTCCATGGCACTGTACCCCACTGAGGTCCCTGTCCTCTCCAGGTTCCATCCCCAAATCTGGGAGTTTCTCAACCTGGACCCTCCAGGAGTTCTAAACCTTGATCTGGTAACCCTACCCCCCATCCTTTGCTGGTGGCCGGGGGGACCCCTACAGACCCCACCTTCCAAAGCAGCCATTTTATCCAGGGAAACTTGTCTCTGTCATTTGAAGATCAGTTGGAATTCTAGGAGACCTCCAGTCTCCACCTGGAGCTTGTCAACCCTATGTCGGGCCTGCTCTAGAGGGAGCTATCACATGGTACACACTGATGTGGCTGAACCATGGCTGACATGCAAAAGTCTGGCCCGCGAGGGCAGGGATTGTCCTGCTTTTTTGCAAATCCTCCTCACTGCCCAGTAGCCGCCACTAAGAAAATTAAGAGCCTGGAAATTGGTTAAGATACTGGCTAAAAGCCTGAGGGTAAGCAGGAGTGAGATGGGTGGTGCTTACCAAAGACTGCAATGTCCACGTTGATGTAGGCCACGCTGCGCTGTTGTAATTTGCTGAAAAATTCCTGTGAGGGAGAAACATAAGTCAGGTAGCAATGGTGCCTGCTGTACTGCCTGGTTCATTTACGGATAACTTACGGAGCTTTTTTTCTGGGGGAACACACCTGAAAAGTAGGCAGATGGAGAATGATTTCAGCAAAGCGTACTTTATTCGATCGGGAACAAGACGACTTTGGCCAGCTCGCAGGCCGGCTTATATTCCCTCAGAACCCACCACCCAAAACACCCCCCCACTTCCTGATAGGTTATTTACAGTGGCTAAGAGTCCCATTGGCTTCTCGGCCAGGAACCTAGTCCTCAGATTGGGGCGGGCTAGGATCCACCTGGTCCATTGTCTCAAGGAGCGAAGCTTGACGTTTGTCTTGGGACAAGTCTGGACATGTCCGGACTTGTCAGGACTTGATACACTACAGCACCAGAATAGAGTTCCGGAACCTCTTCAACAAAAATTTTTTTTTAAATGTTCAAAAGTTCATGAGTTTTCAGTATACAGACTGAAAACTTCATTTCCCTCTTCAGAGTTCTAGCACCTCTTTAAAAAAAAAAAAGCCCTGGTAACTTGTACTCAGAGCTGTGGTGGCTCAAGTGGTTAAGACGCTGAACTGCAGGCTGTGGAAGGCCAGTAGTTCAGCAGTTCAAGACCCGGGTTGCCGCATGACGGAGTGAGCTCCTGTCTCTAGTTCCAGCTCCTGCCAACCTAGCAGTTCGAAAGCAAGAAATTGCAAGTAGATAAATAGGTACCACTTCGGTGGGAAGGTAACAGCGTTCCGTGCACCTTGGTGTTTAGTCATGCCGGCCACATGACCACGGAAACGTCTTCGGACAGCGCTGGCTCTTCGGCTTTGAAACGGAGATGAGCACCGCAACCCTAGAGTCAGATTTGACTGGCTTTTGAGCAAGGGAACCTTTACCTTTACCTTTAACTTGTACTCAGTTTCCCTGATGTGCCGACAGAATTCCGGGTGTTGTGCAGGCCACCACTGGTAGTCTTCTTGATAGGTGCCTGCTTTGGTTGTTAAAACCTTGTAAGAAGGAAGGGAAAGTGCCACTCATGTGTATTATTAATAGCTCTCTGACACAAGGGGTGTTTCTTGGTCACTGAAGGAGACAGTTATTCAGCCAACTGAAATAGTTTGCGAGGGGAGTGCAAAAATGTACTCTGGTCATTCTGGCAGCAGCAAACAGCACAGGAACAGGGAGGAAAGGTGTGGACATAATTTATTCCCATTCTGCTTGCTACGCTGCCACCCCCTTATTCCTCCATGTCACACCTACACATTGATCAGCCCCCCCCACAGCCCACAACCTGCCTTTTAAAGGGCTTTCTTTCTTTCCCAGATGCATCAAAGGGCTACAGCACCGCTCAGTATTTTTAATATTTATTTTTATTAGTTTTTTTAATTTTCACAACACTGTTTCAACAACATTTGACACACAGTAAAGACACGGAGGGAAGGATTGCAAGCTTGCATAACAGAACTAACACTACCTATCACAATAATGTCTACTAAGGTTCAGTCAAGCATTTTTGTGAACACTGAAACACTTTGGGGTTACCTCACCTTCAGAAGAAAAGAAGATTTCTATGTACAGGGTTATTTGGAATTATTCCACTGTTTTCTAAGTAACAGATCATGAGGAACCAGACCGCCTGGAACCACTTTTGATAGTTTACTGACTGTAGTGCTGATGTGTTGTACATGGTACGCCCGTAGATAAAGCATTCCCAAATTTTCTTTTGCCAACCTGTCAAAGTTGGGATAGACTTTTGTTTCCATTTTTGTGTATTGTTATCTTTGCTAATGTCAGTAACGTGGATATTAACGTTTCTGTGCTTTTGTTACTTATAGATGAACGTCAAGTCTCAAAGAAGATGGACTCCAGGTTACAAGGTAAGTGTATGTTTGTTATTAATGCAATTTGTGTGATTATCTGATCCCAGTATTCTTTTATTAGAGGGCAAGACCACCGCTCAGTAAAGAAACAAAGAAAGCCCTTTAAAGGGCTTAAAAGGATGTGGTCGGAGTTTAGCTCTGATATCATATGAAAGCTTATACCCAATATTAAATTTTGTTGGTTTTAAAGGTGTCACAAGCAATGTTCCCTCTAAGCTGTGGAGTCTTGCAAGCAAAAATTCTACTTTGTGAGCTACCGGCATTAAAGTTGTGAGCGAACAATTTGGCTACTGCATAAATTAGATTGCTCTGGAGCCTTCCTTCCTGAGCTAAGGCAAAAATGTGTGAGCCGAAGGCTAAAAAACTGTGAGCTAGCTCACACTAACTCAGCTTAGAGGGAACACTGGTCACAAGACAAAAAGGGGCTAGCTGTCATCCTGTGCTATACAAAATGGTTCACAAACTTGCCTAGATAAATGATTGGGACTGTGACTCCATACTGCTGTGTATGGTTTATTGTAAGTAGGATCCTATTATGTATTTTCTGTACCACTTAATGTGTCATGTTAGTACTTATGCTATGCTTCTGTTCTTTCTGGTGGTTCCAGACTTCTAAAATCCTAATGCATTGGTTATTTAATGTCCCATTTTGTTGACTGTACTGACTCAGAATGTGTAATCTGCCTTGAGTCACAGGGAGAAAGCCAGATTATAAATAATGCAAATAAAAGAAATTAAAATCCTGTTTCAGATCTCCTGGTTCCAGGGTATTCTGGATGACACCTCTGCCTTTGGTCCTTTTCAATCCAGTTTCATATCCAGCTTCTGGACAGATACAGTACTGGAGTCCATAGTGGACAATCTCCACTTATCTGTAGGTGAGGGTAATACCACTCTGTTTATATAAAAACGGGCTTTCTCATGATCTGGCTTTTATTATACCAGGTATTGGTGGTGTTATAATTTGTATTTCTGGTTTATTGTCTTTTAAAATGACACTGTAACCCACTTCTGGTCCGTTTTGGAGAAAGGTGAGGTAAAAGTGTTGTAAATAAATAGCAGGACAATGCTCTTTTTCTTAATTGAAATGACTACTGACTGGCTACCTCCTCTGTTAGCATGGATACTACTACTCACACCCTCCTGGCCCTTTTACCTCCGTGTACTCGGTGGAACCGATAAGACCAAATTCCTCTGCACCCCAGCTGCCGAAAATAATGGACCTCCGTGGGCGCCATTTCCCTGAAAAGAAATTGGGCCACATCTTAAGTCCTGACTTCTCAGTTGCTACTAGGGTTGCCAGCTCCGCTTTGGGAAATACCTGGAGATTTGGGGGGTCGATCCTGGGGAGGACTGTGCAGGGAAGCGACCCCGGCGTGGTATAAGGCCCTCCAAAGCAGCCATTTTCTCCAGGGGAATTGATCTTGATCATCTGGAGATCAGTTGTAATAGTGGGAGATCACCTGGAGGTTGGCAACCCTAGGCGCTACATGCAGAGAGGGGATAGGACCAGATGCACCTAACCTCCAAAACTAGGTGGGACCTGGGTATCCACAGGAATTCCAGCTCATCTCCAGACTACAGAGATCAGTTCCCCTGGAGAAAATGGAGGCTTTGGAGGGCGGACTCTCTGTGGCATTATACCCCTCTGAGGTCCCTGCCCTCCCCTGGTTCCAACCCCAGATCTCCAGGTATTCTCCAACCTGGAGCTAGCAGCCCTACCCCCTCGCAAGGGGCCAAGGGGGGCCTGGCAACACTTCCAACCACAACCCTTTTATTTCCATCTTGGTAAAGGTTGACTGTGTAAGTAGGCAGTGATAGTTATCCTGGGATAAGAATTCTGAGATATCTGGCAGTTCCCCCCACACACACACTGTTCTATCGATACAGACACAACAAAGAATGCTAAAAGTTCTGATTCTTCCCCAGTGATGAAAAAGCAGCCATTACACCCCTACTTTGCTCTGGGGTTGCCAACTCCAAAGTTGGGAAATACTTGGAGATTTGGGGGGGGTGAAGCCTGGGGAAGGTGGGGTTTGGGAAGGGGAGGGGCCTCAGTAGGGTTGCCAAATCATTTTTACCTCGCGGCGGGGGGCTCCCGTTCGGCGTCCTGAGCGGGGCCACAGCCATTTGAGGGGAAAACTCTATGTTTTCCCCTCAAATGGCTGTGGCCCCACCCCCAGCATGCCCGGCGTCATCACGTCACATTCGGGTGACATGCACACCAGGGTGGGGTTTCCCCTGAGGCCCGATTCTGCGGCGGTGGAAATTGGGCCTCCAAAGCGGGGGGAAATCCACCCCCAGGGGGAATTGGCAGCCCTAGGCCTCAGCAGGGTCCAGTGTCACAGAGCCCATTTTCCAAAGCAGCCATTTTCTCCAGGAAAACTGATCTCTGTAGCCTGGAGATCAGTTGTAATTTTGGGAGATCTCCAGGCTCCACCTTGAGGATGGCAGCTGTACATAGCCCCCTTACCCCCTAGGTCTTCTGTAGGCATAACATTTTCCCACCTCAAACACCTCCCAGTAGAGAGCAGATGCCCCATGCTCTAGCTCACCTTCCTTCACCATCTTGCCCAAAATGCGTGTGATCTCCAGCATTACTGCTGTCCCACTGCTGGGGTCAATAGCACCATGCACCCAGCTGTCCCGGTGGTTACCATACAGGACGTACCGGTCTGGAGAAAGGAGAGATGAAAAGCTTTTGAAAACATTAAACTGCCTTATACCAAATCAGGCCACTGGTCTATCAAGGTCTGTCTGTCTGTCTGTCTGCAGATCTTCAGAGTCTCAGGTCTTCCGCATCACCTACCAGATCCTTTGAACTGGAGATGGCAGGGACTGAACTGGGATGGGCATAAAAAAGAAGAGAAGAAGAAGAGAAGAAGAAATTGGATTTATACCCCGCCCTTCACTTGGGAGTCTCAGAGCGGCTTACAGACTCCTTTCCCTTCCCCTCCCCACAACAGACACCCTGTGAGGTGGGTGGGGCTGAGAGAATTCTGACACAAACTGCTCTTTTTCAAGGACAGCTGTGCCAGAGCTTGTGACTGACCCAAGGTCACATCAGCAGGTGCAAGTGGAAGAGTGGGGAATCAAACCCGGTTCTCCCAGATTAGAGTCTGCACACTTAACCACAGGACAGGACAGGCCTGCTTGTCCTCTATTTTATCATAATCTATCAAGGTTAATTATTCATCTGCAGTTCTTTAAACCAGAGAGACTAATTAGACCTTACCAACTGCACCAATTTGCCACAGGGACTTGCAGCTATACTTTAGCTACTAGTTCCCTGTGACAACTTATGAATAAACATGTAGCAGGGCCTGGTTCAGATCCAGAACACCGTGCAGGAGAAGGAGAAATTCTTGCCTTCCCCCCTGTGCAGTTTTCGGTGGTTGAAACAGCCCAGGGAGGGGAGTTATTGGGGATTCAGTATGTGCATCGCATATCAATTGAGATTAGGGTTTCCAGGTCCCCAGGGGGATGGGGGGGGTGCTCTGGGAGCCGGAAGCATTGCACCCGACGTGCCAACATCACCAGAAGTGATGTTGTGTGCCGTGCCTACATCACCTGGAAGTGACATAGGCATGTCGGGGGGGGGGGGGGACACTCTGGTTTTTGGGCAAAACTCTATGGTAAAATCGCCCTCAAACCATAGAGTTTTGCCCAAAACTCAGAGTGCCTCCCTGATGTCACTGACGTGCCTACATCAATTCCGGGTGACGTAGGCACATTGCTCCACATTGCTAGGGTTGCCAAGTTGACTTACCTTGAAAGCGTCGCATTGCCCACATTGGGGGCGGGGCACCATGACTTGAGGGAAAACCATAGAGTTTTCCCTCGATTCACAGAGTGTCCCCCCACCTCCGGATGACATCACCACGCTGGGGACGTCCTCCGGCAGTGGGTGGAGTTTCCCCCGGGGCTCGATCCGCTGCCGGCGGGTAACAGGCCTCCCAGGTGGGAATTTACCCGCCCCCAACAGGGGCTTGGCAAGCCTACTGGCCGCCGGTGGACAGATGCCCACAAAACCAGGGACCCAAATGGGGACTGGCAACCCTAAGTGAGATTATTTATAAAAACCCTGCTAGTGTATCCCCTCAGCCTGGAATTAGGAAATCACAAGAGACAGAGGTCGAATCTGCATTTGCATTTTTAAATTAGTTTCATGCTTCTGTGACGCTGGTCGAATCTGCATTTGTCTTTCCCACAGCTGTCCCAGCCTTCTGACTCCGTCTTTTTTAAAAAGTCTACATTTGGTGTCGTTTTCACACCTCAACAGTGCTAGCATACTTTTGCACGTCCGCATATGTTTATCGCCCTTTCGTGGCGGCTCCGCTGTCATTGCACCTCTGCACTACTTTTTCTCCAAACAACATTCAAACAAGCATAGAGAAAGACGGCATCACAATGGAGCCCCCACGAGAGGGCAATAAACATACGCAGACAGGCAAAAGTATACTCGCACAGTTGAAGTGCGAAAACAAAAGCAAATGTAGACAGTTTTTTGAAGACGAAGTCAGAAAGCTGGGACACCAGTGGGAAAGACATATGCAGATTCGACCAGGGTCTTATCTATTGTGCTACCTCCCTTCTGGAATGCCCTCATTTCAGATAATCACCTAGTACTGACTTTATTGAGCTTCTGGTATAGGGTAAAGCGATTCTTATTCAGGTCTTTCCTGAATATGTTTTCTTTTGTTGTAGCAATGTTCCTGCCAGGGTTGTCAGCTCTAGCTTTGGAAACGCTTGGAGATTTAGGGGCAATCCTGGGAAGGGCATGGAGCTCAGCAAAGAAGTTACGCCATACAGGCTGTCCTCCAAAGGGGCCATTTTCTCCTGGGAAACTGATCTCTGTCGTCTGGAGATCAGTTGTAATCAGTGTTCCCTCTAAGCTGAGTCAGTGTGAGCTAGCTCACAGTTTTTTAACCTCTGGCTCACACATTTTTGTCTTCGCTCAGGAAGGATGGCTCCAGGGCAAACTAATTCATGCAGTAGCTGAATCGCTCACTCACAACTTTAATGCCAGTAGCTCATAAGACTTCACAGCTTAGAGGGAACATTGGTTGTAATCATGGCAGAACTTCAGGCCCCACCTAGAGGTTGGGAACCCTCGTTCCTGCTCAAGATGGCATCTCTCCTTCCACTTGCTTTGATCACATTTTCTGCTGCTTTAATAGTGGATCTTGCCAGCTGCACAACGTCTCCACTAAGTTTTTTTACTCCTTCCTCTTTGAGGGTTTTAAAACCCTGGGTGTGGCCAGAGGCACAAGCCAAAGCTCAAAGCTTGTAGCCTTTGAGTGAGCTGACTCCTGAATACTGTACCTGCTCTAAGATATTGTTTGGGTTTTGTTGAGTTTAGTATTTTGCTTGATTATTTGTTTAAACTGGGGATAGATCAAGATGGGTATAGCCATGTTAGTCTGTCTGTAGCAGTAGAAAAGGTAGCACCACCAAGACTAACAAAATTTGTGGCAGGGCACGATACCTGAAGAAGTGAGCAGTGACTCACGAAAGCTCATACCCTACCACAAATTTTGTTAGTTTTTATGGCGCTACTGGACTCTTACCCTTTCCTATTGTATTACCATTTCCTACTGTTTAAACTGGGTATTTTTAGAAGCTGCTTTGGGTCTAGGGTTGCCAAGTCAAAAAAACTCACCGGCGGGGGAGTCTCGCCGGGCTCCGGGAGCTGTCCTTGGATGCGCGCACGTAGCACGCACGCGACGCCAGCGCATCACCAGAAGTGATGCGCAACATCAACCACGTTGGGGGCACGGCCCAGATCGTCAGAGGGAAAACCATAGAGTTTTCCCTCCAACGATCCGGGCCACGCCCCCAACGTGATCAATGTGGGTCGCTTCAGGGGGGCGGAGTTCCCCCTGGGGCCCGATTCCACGGCGGCAGAAATCGGGCCTCCAAAGCGGGGGTTTACCCGCCACCCGCCCCCACTTGGCAGCCCTATTTGGGTCCCTATCTTGGAGAAAAGCAGGGTAAAAGCCCCTTAAATAAATACATGTTTTACTGTTTTTGAGCAATTTGATTTTTATGGCTGTTCTAACAACTCTCCAATTTATTCTATTCAATACTTCCTCAATTGCTCCATGAATTCCCAGGGTTAATTTAATTTTATTTATTTTATACTTCTGTCTGATAAAGGGAGCTTTGATCAAACTGGGAGATCAAATTGGGAATCTTAAACAGTGACTTGGGTTTCCTTACTCATTGCAGTCTAATAGCTCCACAGGACCCACAGGAGAGCCAGTTTGGTGTAGTGGTTAAGAACACCGACTCTAATCTGGGAGAACTGGGTTTGATTCCCCACTCCTCCACATGCAGCTGCTGGTGTGCCCTTGGGTCAGTCATAAGTTCTCTCAGAGCTGTTCTCGAAAGAGCTCTCTCAGCCCCACCTATTTCACAGGGTGTCTTTGTGGGGAAGGGAAGGGAAAGGAGATTGTAAGATGCTCTGAGAATCCAGTGAAGGGTGGGGTATAAATCCAATCTCTTCTTCTTTATAGAAATGTTGACTGGCTGTTCTTAACATGTTTTTCCGGACAATAACTTTTATACCAGCAGCTGTACATTTTCATTTAAACTTGCCACTTTGCTTATCAGTTTGAATCTCTGACATCTCTCATCCTCCATTGTTTTCAACTGCAATTCAGTTTCAGATACGCTGAGATCTCACAGGTTGAACTTTTATGGTCCTCTCAGCTCTCAAGACAAGTGCAGAGAGTCCTGGTCTCAAAGATAGAGCCTAGCCTACTATTCTCTCACCAAGAGTGGTCTCCGAGATCACTCTATCAGTGCTTCTTTCTGTGCAGCTAGTGTGTGTGTGTGTGTTTAAATGTAAATTAAAGAAATACCCAAATTAGGATTCCAGGGAAAGGCAGGCACCCTCTCTTGCCCGTCCCCACGGACACCCCTGCCCACAGCCGCAAAGTGGGAGCCAAAACAGGCTTGGACAGCCGTCATGGGGGGAAGAAGGCCTTCTGCCTTCCCCTCCAAATTGTTTTCCTGTATCGAAACAATGCTTGTGGGGAGTTATTTCCCCATTTTTCCTATTCCCTGTAGAGTATTTCCCTGCTTATGGAGGAGCAAAAACTAGGAAATGACTCCCCCTAGCACCATTTCCCCTGCGGCGGCCATTCACCACAGCTGCTGTGCGGCTGTGGGGAACCTGAGCTGGACCTTAATCTCCTCCCTTAAGTAAGATTCCGAGTTTGATATCCACACATCTGAAGAGGTGAGCTTACTGTGACCCTCAGAAGCTCATACTGAAATAAATGTTGTTAGTCTCTAAGGTGCCGCTGAAGTTTTGTTCTGTTTTGCTACGAGACATTAACGCAGGTATCCCTTTGCAACCTGAAGAATGTAACTCTCTTTAGGATCGTACTGGAGGATGCCTAGCTGCTCAGAGGGGACTCACCAGGCTCCACACTTCCTCGAATCAGCCCCAACACATTAGAAGATTTCTCAATCCTTCTTTGGTTGTAGACGTTCACCTGGACATCACTGAGAAGGAAAGGCTCAGTCACAACACGAGGCCCTGGCCTGGATGGCCCAGGCTTGCCCACTCTCCTCAGTTCTCGGAAGCTAAGCAGGGGCAGCCTTGGCCAACATTTGGATGGGAGACCACCAAGGAAGTCCACGGTTGCTATGCAGCAGCAGGAAATGGCAAACCACCCCTCCCTCTTGCCTTGAAAACCCTACTAGGGCTGCGGTCACACGGAGCATTAGACACGCTAGAGAGATGGAAGATAGGCGGATTTTCCGGGCGCGATATCACCGCCACATCTGGGAAGCGTAGAGCTCCCATGGCGAACCCAAGGCTTCCCGCCAAAGATGCACGGTTAAAAACTAGTACCTCGGAGAAGGTACTAGTTTCCGGTAACCGCAAGGCAAGAGCGGGCGTCTGATCGCGTTTCCGGTGGTAGTTCCGGCACCCACCCATGCCCCCTCGTATAAAGGTGTTTTTTTCAACTGTCCATGGGATGCGCATGAGCACCCAACGGGGCATGCGCACACTTTGGTGTGCGGAGAAAAAAAACACCCGTTTGCCGCGCCGCTTCTTTGCCGTGGGGCAGGATTGTGGTGTGCTTGGCACCTCCCCCCTACCACGGGACCTCCATGGGACCTCCACGGTACGTCTGCTGGCGCAACTGCACGTTATTTTGCCCCGGGGCAAACAGCCACGCTCCCCCCCCCGCATTTTCCTGCCCGTGTGCCCTCGGCCCAGGTTGCCCTAAGGCCACTGTGACTTGGCAGCACCTTCCCTTTTCCACAGCACTAGAGAACAAAAACATGGTATATTTGATGGGCTCTGGGTGAGCATTCCTTAGTGGTGTACAGCACAATTGGAAGCGGAGTTACACCTTTCTAAGCCCACTGACTTCAACAGACTTAGAAAGGCGTAACTTTAGTCAGGATTGCACTGATAGCTTCCTGGCCTCACTGGGAGGGATGGGTAATGAAAAACCCAAATTAAGTTTTATGAGTCCTGCTACCTGGTGTTAGGGAACTGCCCTCCATCCCGGAATCCTGGTCCCAGATTGTAGATGCAGCCCAAAGATCCTTGCCAAGAGTCATTTGCTGCAGGTCCAGCCAGGTTACTGTAAGTACAAGATAATATCAAGGTCTCTCTCTCTTTTGCTGTGCTCACCTTTTAAAGTCATTTTTTGCTTGGGGAAATCTATATTAAGAACAGAAGAACTGCCCTGACCTAGATAGCCCAGACAAGCCCGATCTCATCAGATCTCAGAAGCTAAGCGGGGTTGATTGTGGTTAGTACTTGGATGGGAGACTTCCTTGGAATACCACATTGGGAGGACAGGGGCAGGCTTAATTCAGCCATCTCCCTGAATATCCTCCAGGCTGCTTCTACGGGTCAGTCACCAGAGGTTGACATGACCTCCAGGTGCAGACACACATGCATGTGCACATACACATACAAAAAATACCAAAAAAAGGAGAAGAATATAAGAACTTAAGAAAAGCCCTGGTGGATCAGACCAGTGGTCCATCTGGTCCAGCATCCCATTTTACATAGTGGCCAATCAGTTCCTCTGGACTCCAACAACAGGGCACAGAGGCTGAGGCCTTCTCCTGTTATTGCCTCCTAGCACTGGTATTCAGAAGTTTACTGCCTCTGGCTGTGGAGGTTCCCTTTATTCTGCTAATTCTTTGGCACCATTACTATTGTGGATGTTTATTGGGTTGAAGAACTGGGTGTTTTATTTTTTTAAACATACAAAAAGTGTCAAGTATGAAAACTGGCACGTTAGAGCTTAACTTTGTTTCCCTAAAGCCTGGCCAACAAAATTTAAAAGCCACTCTGTTTATTTATCCCCACTTTTCCATTTGTCCCTCAAACTGAATTTAAGGATCTCAAAATCTGGATGCTTAGAGCTTCAGCCTTTGGACTCTTTCACCTTCCTTTCCACAGCTGTTTGAGAATTTGCATATTTAGGTCCTATTAACATACCCCGCACAATGTTAACTCACCAGATCAGTGTCCTGGCATTCTCAAAGCCAATGGGTTGGGTTGGGATTGGAGGGATTCCTGTGATCTGGTCTTCTGGGATCCTGTAGGTAAATTCTGAAAACAAGAGGAGGGCATAATTAGTAAGATGAACTTGCTTACAATGGCATCAAGACTCCAGTTGTGTCTTGAACCAGTGACCTAAAGGAAGTCAAGTGAGGGATTCAGCCAAAGTGCCCCTTTGGGCCAACAGGGGGAGCTGCAAAAATGACGTATTATGTATGTTTTTATTTTGTATTTATGTTGTTGGAAGCCACCCTGAGCCTGCTTTGCGGGGAGGGCGGGGTATAAATTTGACAATAAAGAAATAAATAAAATAAAAACCAATTGCATGAGATGGTCTGATAGCTGGAAGCAAGGGCTAAGTACTGTATTCTCCTTGGCCATGAATTGATTTGGTGGACAGCCACAGGCTCAGCAAAACTGAAATCCTTCCTCAAGCCTAAGGAGGCTTCTTCTGAAGGAAGTCGTAGGACACCAGCCATGGGAAACAGTAAACATAGGGAAGGGGGTGTTGGTACAAAAGATACACCGCTTTTGGTGTTCATCACCACAACCTAGCCCCTGAGCAATCTCAGTGCCTTCACCTTTGGCAGGGTAGTACGGTGTCAGCAGGTCTCCAAAGTGGTTGCTGTAGGACCCCCTCTCTACTCCTGAAGGGGGCAGGTACCAGGAATAGGGGTACGTCTCCTCCGCTGAGGCTTTCTTGTCATTGATGTCTCCTGGATCGGTGTAAACCACAACCCCAATTACACCAAATCTGGCTCCATTGATCGCCTGCCAAGAAAAGATAGGGTGGATGTGTGTGCGTCAGTGAGTTTGCGATAGGAATTCCGGGATTCCAAGACTAGATTGAATTCCTTCCTAGGACACTGATCACCTGCTAAAATTCTTGCTGTTTTTAATATCTAGCAAATTCTTTTATCTCTGTGGCCCCCTGGCTCCATCCCCAGATCTCCAGGATTCCCCAACTTGGATCTGGCACCCCCAGCCCCCATCCCCTGCCAGTAGCCAGGGAGGACCTGGCAACCCTAGCCAGTTTCACATAAAACATGGGGGGGGGGGATACACTTCTGACCAGCTTATCCACTTCATCAAGCCTCATCAGCTGAAAGTCATCCAGATAGCCAGGATTAGACTGCACTCCAATGGCATCCTGAGACTGAACCACACCAACTGTGGAGTATAAATCATGGAAGATGCCAGTGGTTTTATCTACAAAATGCATTGCAAAAGCATCACAGTGCACTTGCTGGACAGCTTTGCATGGATCCAGCAGTGGCGGAGCTCACCTTCCTGCCCTCACTGCCACAGAGTAAGCACAATAACGTGCCTTTAACTATGTTCAATCATAATCACATTGCGTTTTTTCCCCTTCCACTAGTGCTCCAACCATACACTCGATCGCTTCATTTGTCCAAGCTCCTCAGTAAAACCAAGAAGCATTCTGGGCCCTGCATGAGGGTAAAGGCCGCTCCAGAGTGATCACTGTCCACAGCCTAGGTTCCATATTCCACAGATGGACCAGGGTTGTGACAGGAGCACCAGACTTGCTGACCAGAAAATTCCCAAGAGAGGTCAGGAAGCCATCCAGATCCATCAACCTCCTGGGGAAGACCATCCTAATGGGTAGAGCTTGTGTAAAATTATACTACAGAATTACTATACTGTTACTTACAACCAATGCTCCCCCTAAGCTGTGGAGTCCTGTGAGCAAAGATTCTACTTTGTGAGCGACTGGCATTCAAGCTGTGAGCGAGCGATTCGGCTGCTGCATAAATTAGTTCGCTCTGGAGATATCCTTCCTGAGCGAAGACTAAAATGTGTGAGCCGGAGGCTAAAACACTGTGAGCTAGCTCACACTCAGCTTAGAGGGAACACTGCTTACAACCAACCTGTGACATCACTGATGGAGCTAAATGAATTTATTTTTTAATATAGGATTAAAGTCTTAAACTGTGCAAATTGATACTTTATCATCATAACAGCAGAACAAAGTTTGAGTCCAGTTTAAAACTTTGTTGGCCTTAAAGGTGCCACTGGGCTCAAACTTTGTTCTGCCGCTTCAGACCAACACGGCCGCCCACCTGAATAATAACAGCAATGCGCCTTGAATACAAATTTAAAAGTTTCAATAATATTAATCATGACAGTATAAGATTTTGTTATCGTAGCTTTTTAAGCGTCTAAAGTAGAAAACTGGAATGGCCTCCAGCCTTCTCTCACCTTGGCGGCTCGACCAGCCCCTCCATAGCGGGTTATGGCTATTGTGCCGTTCAGATCAATGCCGTTTCGGACCAGTTCTTGGTAGTCACTGAGTTTGCCCTGATTAGCATAGACCAATTTTCCCTGGAAAAGTGATTTTAAAAAAAGAGTTAATGGAAGAACATAACCAATGTTCCCTCTAAGCTATGGAGCCCTGTGAGCAAAAATTCTACTTTGTGAGCTACTGGCATTAAAGTTGTGAGCAGGAGCTTTGGCTGCTGCATTAATTAGTTTGCTCTGGAGCCATCCCTTCCTGAGCTAAGACAAAAATGTGTGAGCCAGAGAGTAAAAAACTGTGAGCTAGCTCACACTAACTCAGCTTAGAGGGAACAGTGAACATAACGTGGACTGGAAACAGACTTTCTACGATGACAGAAGGCCAGTGAGGGAATTTATTATCCTTTGAGCCTTAGTGGTGGTCCGGTGGAAAGTGCTGTCAAGTCAGAACTTAGGTGATCCTGGAAGGTTTTCAAGGCAAGAGAAGAACGGAGGTAGTTTTGCCATTGCCTGCCTCTGTGTAGCAACCCTGGACTGGTCTTTCTTTAGTGGTCTTTCTCCAGATACTAACCAGGGCTAACCCCACTTAGCTTCTGAGATCTGACGAGCTTAGGCTAGCCATTGAGGTCAGGGTACTTTGAGCCTCAGGGCTCTTACTTGAGCTGGTTTCCTTTGGGGGACAGAGCACTCTATGCTTTATTTACAAATATACAGGGAAAGACCAGTTGGCAGGAAAAGAGGACTGCAGACCCACCATTAGATCTCAGAGAGAGACTGAGTCCAGATTAGGGTTGCCAGCTCTGGGTTGGGAAATATCTGGAGATTCTGGAGGTGGAGCCTGAGGAGGGTGGGGTTTGGGGAGGGGAGGGGGCTCAGCAGGGTATAATGCCATAGAGCCCAGTGCCCACCTTCCAATGCAGCCGTTTTCTCCAGGGGAGCTGATCTCTGTCAGCCGGAGATTGGTTGTATTTCTAGGAGATCTCCAGCCACCACCTGGAGGTTGGCAATCGTAGTCCAGATGTATCATCAGGTGGGGTGGCTGCAGTCTTCCTTTCCATGCTCTTTTCTCCTCCTTAAACCACAGGAGTGGAGAAACACTTTTGCTTCCACTTACGTGGCTACGTGTAATTTTTCATTAATACAGCCAACAACAGCTCCACAGAGAAGTCTGAAGGCATGAAAAGGGAGCACAAGGGGGAAGGAGGGTGGCCAGTTCCAAGCTGGGAAGTTCCTATCAATTTGGCGGCCATGCCTTGGGAGGGTGGAGTTTGGAGTGGGGTGGGAGGAGCCTAGTGGGGATGTGATGCTATGGAGTCTGCCCTTGCCCTACAACGCTGCCATTTTCTCCAGGGGAAATGGTCTCTGTATTCTGGGAATCGGTTGTAATCCCAGGAGAACTCCAGGATCCACTTGGAGGTAAGCAACCCTGGGGGGAGGCCACTTCTCTCTATACACTGCATTTATATCAGTCATGCCTCAAGAGTTTTGTGTCTTCTAGACACGTGTCGGTCCTTTACTGTTCATGGGGTGTTGTTCTGTACTAATGGCGATGGGCCTTTTTTATTGGTTGATGAAGGTTCAAGAATGTCAGAATGGTTTCTACTGTTGAATGATAAGCTTATAACTCAACTTGATCGTTATCTCTTGTTGTTTCTTGTTGTTGCTTGTTCAACCTTTCTGATGTTTATTGTTGTAAATGATTATTTAAAAACGAATAAAAATATGTTTTTTAAAAATGAGGTGGGAGAGGTTTAATCCTGGAGGTTTGGGGCCTTAGACAAACACTTGCTGAGAATTATCTGCCAGAAGGGCAATTTATGGAAGGATGGGCCTTTTTTCCCTTCTGGAGACACTTTGCTATTGGCCTGTCTAGCAGCAATGCCAACAACAGGGCACTAAATGAGCACGTTGACATGGCAACCATCATAGGATCCTGAGGTGGTGTCCTTGGCTGGTTTTCAAAGGGGCAAATTCCAAGTACAGATTAGATATAATAAAAGTTAGAGATTAGATCGTAGGATAAACCGCACACACTAGAGGGGCCTCTGCATTTTGTACCTGGGGGTTCCCTGGAGGTGCATAAGCCGCGTAGGGCTGGACCACTGCCGGGTCTGCCTGATCTGCTGTGAGATGTTCCTCTTTCTGTCGGGAGATGAAGGCCTGGGTGCCATTTTCCAACACTGCCGGAAAAAAGGAGGTGAATCTGGTCAGGGCATCCCAAATTGCAATCCACCGTCTTGTTCTTAGAGGACATTCACTTCCATTCCATTGGTCCCATTCAGGGGTCATTTTGTAGAAAAAGAGGTGCAGGAGCTCATTAGCATAACTCATTAGCATAACTTATTTGCATATGCCACACCCCCTGACATCACTGGAAGTGTGTCAGAAGGCAACACCCACCGCTCAGGCTCCACTGGACTGTTTTGGATTGCTAGCTATTGGGGGGGACAGACGTGCAGATCTGTCCTCGCAGAGGAGGGAGAGCTTGTACCTGAATAAAACTTCGTCTTAAAGGTGCCACTGGACTGTCTTGGACCGGGGGGGCGGGGTGGGCTCTGCAGCTTACCTGGATGCTTCTTGCTCTGACTGAGGGCTGCTGGGAGCAGGGGGTGGGGCTTGTTGCATGTGCCCGCCCCCTGGGCTCTTTACTGCCGGAGCTTCGCTCCTGTGCGCTCCTGCAGGAAATGACCCCGGTCCCATTCCTTTCCCTGTACTCTATATCTGAGGAAGGTATCTGGGACTCATGAAAGTTCATGTGGAAATAAATGTGGTTTAAAGGTACCATAGGGTTGCCAAGTCTATCTTCCACCCCCAGCGGGGGACTTTGGGGGCGTTCCTGGAAGGGGTGGGGCATCCCCAACGTGATGACGTCACATTGGGGACATCTGCTGCCCCCGCCCCCCCGGCCATGCGCCGGATCTCCAGAAACAGCAGTTCCCTGTACTTAAAGTAGCCGGCAGCCGGCGTTTCCCCTTTAAGAGAAGCTGCGTTTCCCTTTTAAGAACGGAGCTGGCTTTTCCCTGCAAGTCTGCGGAGTTCACGCTTGGGATGAAACATGGGTTGCACACCCTTAAAGGGAGACAGATGGGTGGCTGTGGGTGTTGGGGGTGGGGCTTCCCCCGCCGGCCATCTGGCCGGCAGCGGTTAGAACCCCCCCCAAAAAAACGGGGGACCCCTGGCAAACCGGGGTTTTTTGGCAACCCTAAGGTACCACTAGACTCCTGTTTTATTGTGCTATATTGGACTAATCTCCATATCTTGGCCTACGAATTTTGCCTTCCTCATTTTAATCTTAAAATTTGTCTCCCTTCTTCCCCTTGAAATCAAATCTGCCAACTTCAGCTTTATCCTGCCTAGTTTTGTGTTCACTGTGAGTTCCTTGCTACAGAGCTGTTGTAGTGCAGTGGTTAGCATGTTAGACTGGGGAAACCTGGGTTAAAATCACCACTCAGCCATAAGGTGCCTCTGGCCCAGTCACTTTCTTAGCCTACCTCACAAGGTTGTTGAGTGCTGATTAAAACAGGCAGTCAGAACTCGACCCACTGGATCTACTTGGAACTTTTAGCACAACTTTGACATTTTTTTGAAGTACAGTCAGATTTGCCAGAGCTAAGCATGAGCGATCCAAAGAATAATTTGAAAACTAAATATAGCATGTTCTATTTTTATTTATTTGTTTATATATCCCACCTTTCTCACCAATAGGGACCCAAAGCGGCTTATATTATTCCCCTCCTCCATTTTAACCTCACAACAACCCTGTGAGGTAGGTTAGGTTGAGAGTGTGTGACTGAGCCAAGGTCGCCCAGCAAGCTTCCATGGCAGAGTGGGGATTCAAACCTGGGTCTCCCAGATACTAGTCCTACACTTTAACCATTGCCACACTGGCCCTCCATTTACATTTCAGTCTTAAATTATTGCAGTACGGAGAATGTGAAAAATTGCCTTTAGCATATTTGAGGTAGAAATGCTAGCATGCTAGAGATATTGTGGCATAGTGGCTTAGGAGCTGAGCTATGAAACAGGAAATCCCCGCTTCCAAAGTCACTGCTGATGTGAACTTACTAAGCAGTATTTGGTAAGCCACTTTGAAGTGGTGTACAAATCTAACATTGTTGTTTGCCTAGTTGTTTTTGATGTGATCTTCATTATCAATTCAATAGTCTAGCTCAGTAGTCCCCACTCTTGTTGAACCTGTGGGCACATTTGGAATGTTGACAACAGCTAATGGGTAGCATAACAAAATGGCTGCCATGAGCAATGCTCCCTCTAAGCTGTGGAGTCTTGTGAGCAAAAATTCTACTTTGAGCTACTGGCATTAAAGTTGTGAGCGAGCGATTTAGCTCCTGCATAAATTAGTTTGCTCTGGAGCCATCCTTCCTGAGTTGAGACAAATATCTGTGAGCTGGAGGCTAAAAAACTGAGCTAGCTCACACTAACTCGGCTTAGAGGGAACACTGGCCATGAGGACTGAATCCAATCACAAAACACTGGAAGATTTCATAAAATGTTAGGCGGTTCCAAGTCAAGCATCCTCATTTGGTGGAAACAACTGTTTCTAAATGGGTTCACCCAGCAGGCATAAAGGTGATGCCTCCTAGGCTCCTTTGAAGCACCGCCTGCTTCAATAAAATAGACAAAAGCCAGGATAGGCTGTTTGTTTTGGAGGAGAGAAGCTTTGGGGAAGAAGCAAGTGAGCACCATGTCACTTGAGGGCAGCACGTTAGGTATCACTGGGTAAGTGGCTTCAACATCAGGACAGAACAACCTTATGCTATATCCATGCATCAGTGGATATTGTGCTGTCTTTGTGCTAGAGCACCTATTCACAACTGGATTTTCCTACATGGACAATAGAATGTGCCGTTGAGTCGCAGCTGATTTATGATGACCCCATTTACAGGGTGTTCCAGGCAAGAGAGGAACAGAGTTGGTCTGCTATTGCCTTCCACTGCAGCAACTCCAGCCTTCCTTAGGGGTCTCCTAGCCAAGTAGTGATCGTGACCAACTCTGCTTAGCCCCCAAGCTCATACATGCTTAGGCTAAGCCAGGCGATCTGGCCTGCTGTGGACAAAAGAAGCCAGTTGTAAATTATTGCCATAGTGCAATATCCAGCCATGTGCGGTTGTTGCCATGGTCTCTGACACTTAAGCAGATGCCAACAGGTAGGCATCTCTTTCTACCCCACCTCTCCCCAAAGTCCATATCTAACACTCACCCACAGCCACACTGTTCGGTCTCTGTGAATCAGGGAAAGACAGGAACACATCATAGACTGCCTCTGTGGCACTGTCCAAACCAGTTTCAGGGTCCTTCCAGCGACTCAGCAGCAGCTGTACCAGCTCTTTGTCCCCATCAGTGGTAGCCATGTGGGGCTTGGAAGACAAGTTCCTAATGTGAAAGAACAGGGACTCGCTGGTGAGCATGGGTGTCTTTTGGATAGCAGTGTTTGCAGCACATGCGGAAATTTGGAATCTGGGCTGGAATTCAGCATCTCTAAGACTTCCCTTTTCTACTATATAATGTTTGGCTTCCTTCCTCAGACTTCCTCAACCTTTTCATTTTATTCCCCATGACTGCAAACACCCACTGCTACCGTGCATTTTATAGTCACCACAAGAGACTAAGAAGCTAAGAATTGACCCACTAGATCAAAATATTATTGATGCAATGTGTTCCTGCTTTTATGTCATAGCATTCCAACTGGCTTACAGTTCACAACAACACCTGCCTTATGATGCACACAACACAAAAGGAAACAAGAAGAAGAAGAAGAGATTGGATTTATATCCCGCCCTTCACTTGGAGTCTCAGAGCGGTTTACAAACTCCTTTTCCCTTCCCCTCCCCACAACAGACACCCTGTGAGGTGGGTGGGGCTGAGAGAACTCTGACACAAACTGCTCTTTTTCAAGGACAGCTGTGCCAGAGCTTGTGACTGACCCAAGGTCACATCAGCAGGTGCAAGTGGAGGAGTGGGGAATCAAACCCGGTTCTCCCAGATTAGAGTCCGCACACAGGGCTGGCTCCAGCTTATTTTGCACCCTAGGCGAGGATCCTTTCTGCCCCCCCCCCCCGTGCGCCCACCAATTTTAAAAAATAAATGCATTTTCGGAAGAATGAAAAACACAAATAATCAAGAAACTCCCAGAGTACGGGGCTGCGTGCAGTTTGGTGCCCCTAAGGGCCGTCCTGCTCTAGGCGATCGCCTAGTTCGCCTAGTGAGTGAGCCAGCCCTGTCCGCACACTTAACCACTACACCAAACAGGAAGTGAAAACAAGCATGTTTAGGTACCACCTCTTAAAACAGCCAATTCACACATTACAAAGTCCGTGTGTTTACCATCTGGACTTACTACATATGTGTTCTGGGAACTCCCAGCTGGGGCCTTAGTTCCCAGGCCCATGGGAGCCCAAGTTCAGTCGGAGCTGTGGTGCAGTAGGAAGGGACTTCAGTCTTCGCGCCTCTGTGTGATTTTCCCAACCTGAATGGCTCAAAGAAACCACTGTTTGCCCACTGAGGAAACCTACAAATAGTGATAACTACATGCAAGTTTCCTTCATGGAGCAAATGATAGCTCCCAGAGGTATTTCAGGCTGGGAAAACAATGTGGGGGAGGCCCGCAGGGTCTGAATCCACTTCTTCTTGTGCCCTTGTTAGACTCTGACTGCAGTCACACACGTTAAACAATCCACTTTCAATCCACTTTCAGTGCACTTTCCAACTGGATTCTACTGTGTGAACTGGCAAAATCCAGTTGGAAAGTGCATTGGAAGTTGATTGAAAGTGAATTATTTAGTGTGTGTGACCGCAGCCTCTATGTATTTTGCGTCAAGTTGCAACTGACTTATAGTGACCCCAGCAAGGACTGTTCAAGGCAAATGAGAAGGAGAGTTGGTTTGCCATTGCCTTCCTCTGCAGAGTCTTCCTTGGTGGTCTCCCATCCAAGTACCGCCCCTGCTTAGCTTCTGAAATCTGACAGGATTGGTCTATATCATGCTGTCTTCCCTGCTAGTCTCCCTTTTAAAAAGGTAAAGGTTCCCTTGCTCGAAAGCCAGTCGAATCCGACTCTAGGGTTGCAGTGCTCATCTCCGTTTCAAAGCCAAAGAACCAGCGCTGTCCGAAGACGTTTCCGTGGTCATGTGGCCGGCATGACTAAACACCAAGGCGCACGGAACGCTGTTACCTTCCCACCAAAGTGGTACCTATTTATCTACTTGCAATTTCTTGCTTTCGAACTGCTAGGTTGGCAGGAGCTGGAACTAGAGACGGGAGCTCACTCCGTCATGCGGCACACTTGGGTCTCGAACTGCTGAACTACTGACCTTCCACAGCCTGCCGTTCAGCGTCTTAACCAGCCATCTAAATGAGTGGCCATCAGCACCATCTTCTGGCTGCAAATTCCATAAACTAATTATTGTGGTTAATAGCTATTAATAGACCTATCCTTTATCCATGTGACGCCAAGCACCACATCCTGTGGCAAAAGAACTGTGGCAGTGCTTAAAACTTTCCATACCGATTACTTTCATTAATACCTGGACAAAGTTTTAGTCCAGTGCCAACTTTAAGACCAATGAAGTTTTATTCTGTGTATGAGCTTTCATGTGCATGCATCCACATTAGCTCCTGAAGTCCGTGGGATTAGAAGGGGGTAACTCTGCTTAGAACGGCACTATAAATCTGTTAGTTAGTGTCTCCTCTTTGGGAAGGAGGGTTTTTTGTTCTCTTCTGAGCTGCCAGTGTTCCTGAACAACTAATGTAGAAATATATCTGGGCAAGTGGGTTAGTAGTATACTTTTTCTAGGCAATTTTTTCTTTAGATAAAGTTGGATCACAGAGGCATTACACATCCCATCAGAATTACCCCAGCTCGCCTCCCCCAAAAACTAGAACATTAGGAATTGTTTCCAAACATTACCAGAGGTTTTCACGGATGTTGTTGGCTTCCACTTGGTTCATAAAGTCTCGGAGCAGATCCTCATCCAGATCTTGTGACACGCTGTAAAGCCAGCTGGGGGTCTCAGGACCAGCTGTGCTTTTTGGAATTGCATAGTGCCCCAGCAAGATTCCAATGGTCAGCACGGCAGCTCCAGAAAGCACAGCTATAAGGATATATTTCCAGTTCTTCCTGAATTCTACCATGTCTCTCAGTGCCAGTGGAAGAAGGCGGCTGTCTATTGAAACAAAGAAGAATCCAACCCTATGCCTGTTACTTGGCTAGGAACAGATAGGTTAGTATCTTCTATCCCGACATGGCCTTTGATCATCTGGGATGGGCCAGTGAACGAATTTGGCACTCTTTGATACAGGAAATGAGCTGAATGAACAGAGGAGAAAAGTGTCCAAAGAGCAGAGAAATAAGTTGAAGGAGGGAGGAGTTTAGCTGCATACCTCCCTCTTCATGGTAAAAGCAGACCACTTTGCTTTATTCATAAACAAACATGCCTTTCCCCATCACATGTAATTTGGCCTTCACTCTCGCGCTGGCTCAACCACACAAGGACTGTGCTCTGTACAGAGAGGGGAGACTCGTCTTGGCAGTAGTGTGTGCGAAAAGGATCTAGGGGTCTTAGTAGACCATACAGTGAACATGAGTCAGCAGTATGACGCAGTAGCTAAAAAGGCAAATGCAATTTTGGGTACCACTTTACTCTGCTCTGGTTAGACCTCACCTAGAGTATTGTGTTCCGTTTTGGGCACCACAATTTAAGAAGTATATAGACAAGCTGGAACGTGTCCAGGGGAGAGCAACGGAGATTGTGAGGGGTCTGGAGACCAAGGCCAATGAGGAAAGATTGCAGGAGCTGGGTATGTTTAGCCTAGAGAAGATGCAACTGAGAGGTGATATGATAACCATCTTCAAGTACTTGAAGGGCTGTCATATAGAGGATGGAGTGGAGTTGTTTTCTGTTGCCCTAGAACCAATGGGTTGAAATTAAATCAGAAGAGTTTTTGACTAAACATTAGGAAGAACTTCCTGACACAGCGGTTCCTGAATGGGACAGGCTTCCTCAGGAGGTGGTGGGCTCTCCTTTTTTGGAGGTTTTCAAACAGAGGCTAGATGGCCATTTGACAGCAAATGTGGATTCTGTGAACTTAGACAGATCATGAGAGGGAGGGCAGGAAGGGTTGCCTCAGTGCTTAGTTCTTGTGGCCCTTTCTTACACACCCAGGGAAATCCTGATCGCTGGTTTGGCTGGGGATCCTGGAGGGTTTTTTTGTCAACTTCTGGGCATGGAACAGCGGTCACTGGGGGTGTGAGGGGGAGGTATTTGTGAATTTCCTGCATTGTGCAGGGGGTTGGACTAGATGACCCTGGAGGTCCCTTCCAACTCTATGATTCTGTGATTCTATCCAATTAGAGAACCTGGACCAAATAATTTTAAAAGGCTTTGCCAGCTGTGGTAAGATGCTCTGTGGGAGGAAAGAGCAGCCTTGAACCTGCTGAGGTACCCTGTCCAGAAAAGGGAGAATCAAATCTCCCCTCAGGGGTTATTTATTTTATTTGAGAGCCAGCTTTATATATCTCAGTCACCCACACATCATATTTACCTTAATAAATACTTTGTTTTATGATAAATAAATCTTTGTTGTTCCTCTCCATCTGTGTCTTGTCTGTTTTTGGGGAAATGAGGGCTACAGGAACCTTTTCATGCACTCCCATTTCCACTTTGTTGTTTTGGGGAGGGAGAGAAGCTGACTTCCCGATTGCATCGAGAGAGAGAGAGAATGAGAGTTGTTCTAAGCCAAAACTCAGTTTATTCTATTACACACTCTTAGGTCAGAAAACACTTTTGTAGCATTTCAATATTCAGCACAGAATATTTCAACACAACCCCAATACATAAATAGTGCACTTGAAGTTCTATAAAGGATATCCTTGGTTGCTCTGTAAAGACCCATAATGGAAGGGTGGTTGGCCAGAACAACAAGGAACAAAACTAAATCCAGACATTAAGTACTCTTTTCCACCTGAAATATACTGGGTTCAGACGCGTAGAAGTGATCAGCTCATAATTTATTCATGATTCAGCAAGAGAAAGAAGAAGACTGCAATCCCTGGCCTCGGCCAGGGATTTATGCCTGAAAAGGGTTTACACTCTATTGTTTCCCAGTTTCCCAGAGCCAGTTTGGTGTAGTGGTTAAGTGTGTGGACTCTAATCTGGGAGAACTGGGTTTGATTCCCCACTCCTCCACTTGCACCTGCTGATGTGACCTTGGGTCAGTCACAAGCTCTGGCACAGCTATTCCTGAAAGAGCAGTTTCTGTCAAGAGTTCTCTCAGCCCCACCCACCTCACAGGGTGTCTGTTGTGCGGAGGGGAAGGGAAAGGAGTTTGTAAGCCGCTCTGAGACTCCAAGTGAAGGGCGGGGTATAAATCCAATCTCTTCCTCTTCTTCTTCTTCAGTTGGTTTACTGTAGGATCCTTGTCTCCCTACTGGTCCATTCTAGGATCCTAGCAATCTATTGTTATGCATCCCAAGCTCAGCCCTTTTGCAAGGGCAGTTCAGGCTCAATACATAACACCACCCATGGAAGCTAATGTAACAGTCAGTCAAGTCTGTGACAACCATTTGACATACATCTGTGATGTGCACAGCAAAGCTCAGCCCATTCTTTCTATCTGTGGGGTCAGGGAGGTCAAGGAAAGCTGGGTTAGTCAAGGTTGACTCAGAGAGTCCCAGGAAGCTAGCTTCTTCAGATACTCTATCTATTTAGAATTTGATGGTGTAGAAACATTCCAAAAGGCAAAAGTCATGTAAGGCAGAAGTCATGTATGGTGTTATCCCAGAAGGCCACAGCACTTAGCAGAGTCCTGAAGCCTCCTGGGAAACAGAACCACAGAGTCAACGATAGAGGCTAATTGCTATAGAAATTCAAGTATCATAGGTGTACCAGAGGTTTTGCAGAGGACTGAGACTCAATCCAGCCCTAATTCCACAACATCTGTTAAGTCAAATATCTAAGAAAATGTTATCTCTGTTTACTCCACATATAAATACTACAGCCTTGGTCTAGCAGGTTTGAGACATTAGGGAGCACTTAGTTTACACACTACCAAACTTTAATTTGCAGCTTTTGTCCCCCCCCCCTTTTTACCATCTCATGGATCACTGCCTTGACGTGGCAAGGGGGCTTACGTGGTTCAATGAGGCTGTGGGCTATGCCGTGGAGGGCCACCCAGGACAGACAGGCCACAGCAGAGAACAGACAGAATGTGATCCACTGGAGAAGGAAATGGCAACCCACTCCAGTATCTTTGCCAAGAAAACCCCATGGACAGTAACAAAAGGCTAAAAGATATGACGCCAGAAGATGAGCCCCGCAGGTCGGAAGGGTGTCCAATATGCTACTGGGGAAGAGCAGAGGGCAAGTACAAGTAACCCCAGAAAGAGTGAAGCGGCTGGGCCAAAGCCGAAAGGACGCTCAGTTGTGGATGTGTCTGATGGTGAAAGGAAAGTCCGATGCTGCAAAGAACAATACTGCATAGGAACCTGGAATCTAAGATCTATGAACCAAGGTAAGCTTGACATGGTCAAAAAAGAGATGGCAAGACTGAACATTGACATCTTGGGAATCAGTGAACTAAACTGGATGGGAACGGGCGAATTTAACTCAGAAGACCATTATATCTACTACTGTGGCCAAGAATCCCGTAGAAAAAAGGGTGTGGCCTTTATAGTCAACAAGAGAGTGAAAAAGGCAGTAATGGGATACAATCTCTAAAATGGCAGAATGATCTCGATATGAATCCAAGGCAAACCATTCAACATCACAATAATCCAAGTCTATGCCCCAACCACTGATGCAGAAGAGGCTGAAGTGGACCGGTTCTATGAAGACCTACAACACCTCCTAGAACTATCCTCATCATCATAGGGGACTGGAATGCTAAAGTAGGAAGTCAAAAGGTAACCAGAATAACAGGTAAGTTTGACCTTGGAGAACAAAATGAAGCCGGGCAAAGTTTTTGTCAAGAGAACATGCTGGTCATAGCGAACACCCTCTTACAACAACCTAAGAGGTGAGTCTACACACGGACATCACCAGATGGGTAACACCGAAATCAGACTATACAGTCAGTAAAAACAAGACCTGGAGCTGACTGTGGCTCAGATCATGAGCTACTGATTGCAAAATTCAGACTTAAACTCATCCCAAAGAAACAGAAATGCAAGAAAGCAAAGTGGCTGTCTGATGAGGCTTTACAAATAGGAGAAGAAAGAAGGAAAGCAGAAGGCAAAGGTGAAAAGGAAAGATTCACCCAACTGAATGCAGATTTCCAGAGAACAGCAAGGAGAGATAAGGAGGCTTTCCTGAATGAACAATGCAAAGTAATAGAGGAAAACAATAGAATGGTGACGAGAGAGGAGGTCCTAAAACTGATAGACAACTAAAAAACTGATAAATCACCAGGCCCAGATGGCATACATCCGAGAGTCCTGAAAGAACTCAAATATGAACTTCTGGATCTCCTTACAAAAATATGTAATCTTTCCTTAAAATCTGCCTCCATTCCTGAGGACTGGAAGGTAGCTAATGTCACTCCCATCTCTAAAAAGGGTTCCAGAGGAGATCCGGGAAATTACAGGCCAGTCAGTCTGACGTCGATACCG